TTTTTATTTTTTATTTTTTAAAAGATGACCGATAAGGGGATCTCAACCCTTGGCTTGGTTTTGTCAGCACCACGCTCAGCCAGTGAGCAAACCGGCCATCCCTATATAGGATCCGAACCCGTGGCCTTGGTGTTATCAGCACCGCACTCTACCGAGTGAGCCACAGGCCGGCCTATAAATGTATAATTTCTAAGCTGACAGATGGATAACTGAACATGGAAGACTTTTTTTTTGAAACTCTCTAGACAAACCTTCATCAGGTTCAACTCTTTCACCATGTGGAGAGGCTGGAGGTGGGAAAGGAGGAAAAGTTTCATCTTCTACATGCTCATAATCTGGTAGGTCAATCAAGCCATTCTCCTGTGGTTCTAGCATCTTTTCCTCTGGGAGAAAAAAAGTAAAATTATTTTTATTCATCCGAGTAGTATTCCTGGGCTGGCCAGTTAGCTTAGTTGGTTAGAGCACAACCTTTAACACCAAGGTCACAAGTTTGGATCTCTGCACCAGCCAGCCACCAAAAAAAAAAAAAAAAAAAAAACCCCAAACAAATAGTCTTCCTATTACACATCAAATTCCGTGTACAGCAAAATTCATGTGCTTCAGTTAAACCACATTTCAAACTCACACATCATGAAAAGAAGTAGAAAAAAGGACAAAGCTGAAAATCAGAAGAACTGAATTCTAACGCAGACCCCATAGCTGAATAACTATATGATTTTGAACAAATCATTTTACGTCACCTATGTGAATTTTTTCTACCATAAAAGGATGAATTTGATTTTTCAGAGGGTTTCAAACTGTGACCCAAAAGTAAATAAGAAAATAAGAAATAAGTAGGGCATAGCTACTTCACCCCCACTTACACCAGAGCAGCTTTTTAAAAAACCTGTTTATATATTGGTCTTCTAGGTAAGATTTACTTTTTTTTTTTTTTTTTAAAAAAAAGACCGGTAAGGGGATCTTAACCCTTGACTTGGTGTTGTCAGCACCACACTTTCCCAAGTGAGCTAACCAGCCATCCCTATATAGGGATCCCAACCCATGGCTTTGGTGTTACCAGCACCGCACTCTCCCAAGTGAGCCACGGGCCGGCCCGGTAAGACTTCCTTTGATGAATGGAAATTATCCTCAGGTTGATAACTGGAAAGAATGTTTCTCAGTACCATTTTAGTAGACCTCTCAGCAACATCTGATACTTTTGGCCAATCCCTTTTACTGGAAAAATGTTTTCCTTGACTTCTGTACTCACCTGGCTTTCCTCCCTTTCTGGACACTCTTCCTGGATCTTCTTTGCAGGTTCATCTTCTAACCTGGCCACTAAGTTTCCAAGACTCCATCCTAGGCCATCTCTTCAATCACTTATGCACATGGCCCTAACAATAACTTTTTTATAGATGACTCAATTTTTATCTCCACCCTAGGCCTTAACTCTGAGTTCCAGATCCCTACTTTACAGCTCTCAAATGTCACAAAGGCACCTATAACTCATCATGTACAAAACTGAACTTCAAAATTTCCTAATTCAGTGAATGACATCTATCCAGCTATGCAAGTCAGAAACCTACAAGTCATCTTTGACACTTCCTTCCCCCTACACCACATATCCCATCCATTTTACTTCCTAAATATGCCTTAAATCTGTCCATTTCTATCTCCATAACCAATTTCCAAAGTTTCTTCCTTGGATTACTCCATTACTCCCATCTACTTTTGCCTCCTTCTATCCATTTTCCATATTATAACTAAACTGAACCTTTGAAAATGTAAAGCTTGGGCTGGCCAGTTAGCTCACTTGGTTAGGGTACGGTGCTGATCACACCAAGGCCCAGGGTTTGGATCCCCATACTGGCCAGCCACCAAAACAAAAGAAAGAAAAGAAAATGTAAAACTGATATGAATTGGCTTAAGAATTTCAATGGCTTCTGATCACTCTTAGGATAAAGATAAAACTCCAAGGCCCTGTGTTATGTGGCTTCTTCCTATCTCTCCAGACTTCACACCATCCTATGCTTTTTCTTTCAGTTCACTGAAAGAGCTATATCCCTCAGACCACTGGATCTTAGCAAATGCTATTTCCAGTCTTGAATGCTATTCCCTGGGGGCTATCCGGTTAACTCACTTGGGAGAGCGTAATGCTGCTAACATTAAGGTCACAGATTTAGAACCCCATACACCCCAGGCCTCAGCATGCCCCCCTTACATGCACAACCAGCCCAGTGATGACCACTGAGCTGCAGCAAGAAGAACCCCGGGTTCCCGAGCTGAGGTAGTGGGGGGCGAGGGCTTTTGCCACACCCTGCTGACATCTGCACCTAGCCCAGCAATGACCAAACCACCACTGGAAGCCCCCTAGTCTCCCCTGTGGGAATGAGGGGGGTGCCACAGGCCTCACTCCTGCCCCTTCTCCTTCCTTTTTCCATCCCATTTCCTTCTCCTTTCCCCTCTCACCCTCCTTCCCAACTGCTCCACAACAACTTCATAGAATGTAAATAAAATAATATTTAAAATTAAAAAAATCCCCATACAAGCCAGCAGCCAAAAAAAAAGGGGAAAGCTATTCCCTGACTCCTAATCTTTTTCTTTTTCTTTTTTTTTTTAAGATGACAGGTAAGGAGATCTAAACCCTTGACTTGGTGTTGTCAGCACTACACTCACCTGATGAGCTAACCGGCCATCCCTATATGGGATCCGAACCTGTGGCCTTGGTATTATCAGCACCACACTTTCCCGAGTGAGCCACAGGCCAGCCCAACTCCTCATCTTTCAGATCTCAACTATCCACCTCCTCAGAGAAGTCCACCCCAATTTGCCTAAGTTAAATCTCTCTTCAATAAGCATTCATAGTATCAAGTACAAGTTTCATAGCACTTATCCAGTATCAATATTATGATTTGTGCGGTTAATGTTTATCTCCCATATTAGACTGTAGCTCTAAAAGGGTAACGACCAGGTAGGTCTCTTTGTGCTCCACTGCTGTACCCCTAAAGCTGATACTCAGCAGGTGCTCAATACATATATATTTCTTGAATGAAAGAACGCAAGAAAGGAATTCCAAAGCTTCCCCCAAACTAAAACCACTGGAGTTAGATGACCTCTAAAATCTCTCCAGTTCTATTTATTTTCTTGGTGGCTGGCCAATACACAGATCTGAACCTGGGACCTTGGTGTCATAAGGCTGTGCTCTAACCAACTGAGCTAACTGGCCAGCCCTCTAATTCTAAATTTCTATGACCATAAATGCATAAAAACAAAGTATCAGGGCCAGCCTGTGGTTCACTCGGGAGAGTGTGGTGCTGGTAACACCAAGGCCACGGGTTCGGATCCCTATATAGACATGGCCGGTTAGCTCACTTGGGAGAGCGTGGTGCTGACAACACCAAGTCAAGGGTTAAGATCCCATTTCCTGTCATCTTAAAAAAAAAAAAAAAAAGTATCAACTTCTGATGATGACCCACTTATCTTCAAGTAAGCTACAAGAACCACTGATTTTCAAAACTGGAAAGACGGTTAGAGGTCACAAAATCTACAGTAGTTTCCTAGCTACAAGAAGTATATTTAGCCCCGTTCAAATTAGGCCTTCTGAGGAGAAGTGGGGTTCAGACCTTTTTGACTGACAGGGAACATTGAGTGTGATGACAGGCACGAACTACATTGAGTGTAATAGGGAACTGACCACGCATGGGGTGGAGCTTGTCCGTAAAATGTTTTTTCTTAATATTTGTGGTGAATAAGATGTTCACTACACTTCTTTCACTCCTTGACAATGATGGTATAACTGTCTCTTTCTAGACATTGATGAAATTGTCTTAACTTCCTCCTCAAACTCCCAGAGGACTGAAGGTAATAAACTTGTTGTCCAAACCACGGTTCATTCCCAGACCTTCCGTTTCCAATGTCCAACTTTTCCCAAGTTGTCAAAACAGAAGCCCCTCGTCGCAAGGTAAGTCCTATCAGGCTGATTAGATGTCCCCCTCGGGTGCCACCCCTAAAAACATCGAAACTCCCATCCCTCTTCTCCAACCTTCTCATCCTCGCTTCCCTGTCTTTTCTCTCTCCAACCTCATTCATTCCTTCAACATTCACAGGACCCCTTCTACGTTTAGAAGCCCTGTACATAAGCTGGGGATGTAAAGACATCACAAACACGTTCCCTCCGGCTAAAAGGCTCCGTTTAGTGAGAGGCAGCCCCGAAACCTAAACAAGAGGTAAACGTGCCCGCCCCCACGGGTCGAGGCCGGTGCGCCCTCCCTCTCCTGTCCCGCTGCGGCCAGGTCCGCCTCGCTCCTGTCCTCCAGCCTGCTCACCCCTTGCCTGCGACCGCCCAGCTCTGCCGCTCGTCAGTCTGGCTACCAGGGCCGCCTCTCCCCTCCAAAGCCCAGTTCGGCCGCCAACCGGCTCTCACCTCACGCAGACCGAAGCAGCCTCGCGCGGTGCTCACCGGGGAAAGGAAGTCGTGCTTCTCGCGATACTCTTCAGCTCCTGCCGCGAGAAGAGCTCAGCGTGTGGCGCCAAATCTGCGTACTGTCTGGGCGGTGCCTGCAGGACCCGCCTTCCGCGGTCCCGCCCACCCACGCGGTTCCCGCCCACCCACGCGGTTCCCGCCTTTCCTGCTCATCCCGTCGCTTCCGCCCTCCTGAATTTCTGGGAGGAGTTAAGCCTCCTTATTTGCATGAATTTCATATTTGTTATTCTCTGGGCACTTTGCACTTTGTAAGTAGGTCCCAGTTTTTAGAAAACTGAGTTATGGATGGAGTAAAAAGAATAGAGGCAAGCAGTATTGGAAAAGAAATTACCGCATCTTCAGAATTAACAGCAGAATGCGTTGAATAAGAGAGTTTTATTATTTGTTTATTGACTAATGAACTGAGAAAAAGAGGTGGTAAGGAATTAGGGTTAGGAGTGTAGACATAAAGAAAAATGTCAAAACTGTGTTTTCTATTTTTTAAAAAAGTGATTTTTTTAAATAAAATACATGTACAATTATGTTTCAATAAAAAAACAAAAAATATATTAAAATATTTGTATTTGCTTGTATAAACACACAACTAGGGGAAAATATATTTATAACTAATACCTGTGGGATGGGAACTTAAGTATACTTTTTTTGAACGTATAAATGTATTACTTGTTAAAAAAACCTAAATTACAAAATGTTATCTGGCGCAAATATGGCATCATTAAGATTTGACAAACCTACAAGATAATTATGGAGTGCTGGCAACATTATTCTCTCTACTTTTCTTTTCTTTTTTTTTTTTTTTCCTTTTTGTCTTTTTTCGTGACCGGTAATGGGATCGCAACCCTCGGTGTCGTGCCCGCACCGCGCTCAACCAGTGAGCGGACCGGTCTCTACATGGGATCCAAACCCTCCGCGGGAGCGCTGCCATCTCTCTACTTTTCTGTAGCTTAAAACATTTTATTAAAATTTAAAAAGTGTGAATCAAATGTGTGAAAAGAATAAGAAAGCAAATTGCCAGTTCTATCTGCCTAAAATTGTGTATGCAGATGTGAATATGTGCCACATTTTCTTTTATTTTATGGTTTTATTTCTATATGTGGAAGATAATATATATTAATATTAAGCAATTAACAAAATTAGCATTAGTTTGAACCAGAAATATGTTAACATCAATAGTCTGAATTGCTGTGGCAAGAGGCGTTCTTTTAATTATCCAGTCTATTCTCCACTTTTTGTCTAATAAAGTAAATGTAAAAGCACTTTCAGAAATTAAAAAAAAAAAACAGCAGATGCTCTGAGGGTTTGAATCTCAGTCCCATCATTTGCTAGTTGGTGCCCTTTGGCCGTGCTTCAGTTTCCTCATTATCAATAATAGTACCTACTTCACAAGGTTGTGAGGACAGTTAAAAGATAGTACCTAATAAGCTGGCTGGTTAGCTCAGTTGGTTAGTGTATTAGTCCATTTTTGTTCCTTATACCAAAGTACACTGAACTGGGTGATTTATAAGGAAAATGAAATTTAATGCTTACAGTTTCTGAGGCTGGGAAATCCAAAGACCATCTGGTGGTGGCAGCAGTGACCCAGCAGTCTCACATTGCAAGATGGTGGAAGCAGAGAGAGCAGGGAGAGAGAGAGAGACAGATTGTCCTCTTCTTTTAAAACCCTCAGAGGACCGACCCGTGGCTTACTCGGGAGAGTGCAGTGCTGATAACACCAAGGCCATGGGTTCGGATCCTGTAGAGGGATGGCCGGTTAGCTCACTGGTTGAGAATGGTGCTGATTGGGCCGGCCCGTGGCTCACTCGGTAGAGTGCGGTGCTAATAACACCAAGGCCCCGGGTTCAGATCCCACATAGGGATGGCTGGTTGCTCACTGGGTGAGCATGGTGCTGACAACACCAAGTCAAGGGTCAAGATCCCCTTACCAGTCATCTTTTAAAAAAATAATAATAATAAAAAAATAAAAATAAAAATGGTGCTGACAACATCAAGCCAAGGGTTAAGATCCCCTTACTGGTCATCTTTTTAAAAGAAAAATAATAATGAAAAAAAATAAAGCCCTCAGAACCACACCCCTGACCACCATTTTTAATTCATTCACTACTGCATGGTTACTACAATCCAATCACCTCTTCAAGGCTCCACCTTTCAATTACCATAATAGGATTTCCCACCTTCTTAACAGTCATAGTGGGGGCTAAGTTTCTAATACATGAAACATGAGAGATACAGTTCAAACTTCAATGAGTTTTGGGGGGACATAATTCAATCTACTACAGTTAAAGTGCACTGTTATAACACCAAAGTTAAGAGCCAGCCCGTGACTCACTTGGCAGAGTGCAGTGATGATAACACCAAGGCCATGGGTTCGGATCCTATATAGGGATGGCCGGTTGGCTCACTGGCTGAGCATGGTGATGACAACAACAAGCCAAGGGCTGAGATCCCCTTACCGGTCATCTTTAAAAAAAAAAAAAAAAAATCTAAGTTAAGTGTTTGCATCCCCATACCAGCCAGCCATTTAAAAAAAAAGATAGTACTTAATAATGTTATCTATTATCCATATAATTTTTAGAATGTTTAACCCTTTCAGTAAATGTAAAGATTTTGGGCCGGCCTGTGGCTCACTCAGTAGAGTGCGGTGCTGATAACACCAAGGCCACTGGTTCGGATCCCATGTAGGGATGGCCGGTTCGCTCACTGCCTGAGCGTGATGCTGACAACACCAAGTCAAGGGTTGAGATCCCCTTACCGGTCATCTTCTAAAAAAAGAAAAAAAAGAAAAAAGAAAATGTAAAGATTTTGTTATG